ATTTTGTAGCGTATGTTCAAGTGTGGCCTTTGTGTTAGTAGTATTTAGATAAGAGCGATTAAAATGGAGTTTGAAGATTATAGGTATATCTTTTGGAAAACTCGTTCTGCTTGAAAAATTTGCGTTGGACGTCTCTAGCATGATAACTGCGGTTTCTCACATCCCATAATGTTTTTCTTTTTCTCACCTCGCAAATTAGCTTCTCACAATCCATAATTATCCACAATATGTGAATCAATAAAAACCTGCATTGGCTAAATTGCAAATACTGACGGAAAGTCGTTTGAAAACGTCCGACAAATCCCATTCAAATGGGACCAATCGTTGTTCGCATGAAATCTGATCAAGTCGTGCGACCTAAATCGTGTGAAGTGGATGAGCGTTCTATTTATTTTTATGTAAGGGGATTAGTCGGACGTATACGGACGAATTCGCACGGACGCGAATTCGTACGACTACGCATCCAATGGACGGCCAGCCTAATGGTTTAACTTTTAATTTTTCAACTTTCTGTTCCTTGTCCTCTGCCAAATGCGAAGTCTAGCAACCTACTACTTTGTGATATGTGAGCAAACTTGCCCTGATGATGACGAGGTTTTTGAGCCTTGAAATATTGTCACGGCTTTGGGGTGCGTGACAGAAATCTTGGGTCCGTTTATTCCAAAATAAAAGTTCAAATAACACAATTATAATTAATGTATTCCACGTTACTATACACTCTGACACTAATTACTTCACTAATTAACTCAAACAACTTAATTCTTCACAACTCTTACAAAATTCACTACCTATCTAAATCGTATCACAGTCAATCTTGAAACACTTCTTAATTGTAGGGATCATACTTATTACTGGATGTGTTATATAATTTGAATAGAAATGTAATAAATTGATTGATATCTACTCAGTGATGGATTTTTTTTTTTAATTCTTGAGGTCAAATACCCTACAAGTAAAAGCCGCATTATGCGCTTGTATTTCAACGGTTTGGCCACCAATCAAAAAAGTTTTGTTCGTACCGATACCTGCGCCTAGACTTTGATGAATAACGTTTTTTGTAAAAAATTTTGGGAGGATAATTTGGATTTTTCTTCCAGGAATGTCATTATTCCGTCCGTTGATTATTTGATGTATTTATTTTGGTAGAGTCTTCAACTACAGAAATCTTGTTTTTCCAATGCCTTACAAAGGTTATTAAGTCGGTCAGTGTCTGACTGGCATAATCAACTTGTGCGTTTTTGCACTATGAAGGTATCAAACAATTAAATTTGCATATACCGTATACGCCAAGCCAAACTCCTGGTTATTGTGAAACTTGACCATCTATAACCTCTTCGTGATCAAAAACAAGTTCACAGTGGAAAAAATGTTTAAACAAATAAGTAACTAACAATCTTGGGGTTCCAGCAATAAATTATTGTTTTATGGCGACCAGCTGTTTGGAAACCTACGCTTCTTTATCGATAAAATGCAAATGCAAAATTCCTTTTCAAAAATAAATTTATTTTTAGTACCTACCCACCTGGCACTGACCTGTCAAAAGTGTTGAAAACAAAACACTTTTCCATGAATTTTACTTTATTCAAATTATTTGGTATTATCACTTAAGGTATATAGATTACTGAAACTTCTTTTCCAAACTTGAATAAATTTTATCTAAAAATCAGGACAAAGCTAGCACTTTTACAACACAGAAAGCTAAACCGTTTCAAGTTTCACTACCTACATTACTAATCGCTTTACTGTCCTATTCAAAAACTCCTCCCAACCTCAACGGCTAGTTGATGCGATTTGCTCATATATCGATTCAAGCCTTACGTAATTGTCTCGATTATAATTGGCGAAATGTATTGAAATATATTTTTTAAAGATATCTACTAAATTATATGAGTTAACTTTTGCTCCAATTTATATTTTTTTAATGATTTTTTGACGATTCCATAATTGTATAATGTGGAAATTAGAATAAATGCAGTTCTAATTGGAACTTTAACCTTTAATAAGCGGGACTTGGAACTTTGTCTTAATTTTAAGACACATTGGGTAGTAAAAATTACTGTAAAGTAGTTTTCATGAGTTCCGAGACAGTTAACTTTACCTTAAATATAACTACTATATTATAGTTCCATAACTTTGAAGAAATTTCAGAACTAGCAATGACTTCGTAGTTACTTTCAGCGCTCTAAAGTAATAAAAACTTTGAAGTGATATACGAGTAACAAGACAAAGTTACACAGAGAATTAATTTTAGACCATTATAAGAATCTTAATAACCTTAATACAAATATCGTATAAAATCGGGGACAGATAAGCGCTGTAGTTACCATTATAAAAGTCACTTTATAAACTACTACTTTGCTACCATTGATAGACCAATTTACTGAAATCGCCTAAAGACCATTAAAAATTTATAAACGAGTCACAATAAAATAGTTTTGAATGGCGAAAAAACGGTTTTTTAACTGTCAATAAATATGTGATGATGGTTATTAAACTGTATAATAACCCTTAATATATCCTATAAGGGATAATAAAAACATTTTAATAATAACAGATGAATATCTTTATACCATTAATATATTTTTTTTGACCACCAAAAATTCCTTTTGTAATCATAACAAGATAACCTTATAAGGCCCAGTTATACAATCTTGGTTAAAAACAGAGTTCAGCTGAACTCGACTGGCACTTGAACTTCTCCATTTAAAATACATTGCTGTCAGCAAATTAATCAAATTCTAGCTATTTTTGACAGCAATGCATTTCAAATGGGGAAGTTCAAAGGCGATTTTCAGCCTGGAATGATTATTATTTGGTTATAACCAATGCATTTCTGCCGTCGCGGTTTTAACCAAAGTAGGGGAAGTTATGACGTCACATATCAGATGATTTGCTTTTGGTATTTACCACTTATAACCGATTATAACCCAGCTGTGGACTTGGGTTAATCTTTTGGTTACAGCTTTTTTATGTTATTGTTATTATTTTTGGAATTTGTATTGGTGTTTTGTGATTTTGCAGTTTCGTTGTAGCCTGGCACAATGAAAAAAGTATAAATTCACTCACTCACTGCAATTCACCATGTTTAGATCGAGGTTTAGATCATCCCCAAAGAAAATCTGTTCGATAAACGAGACTAACGAGAGATTCAGCTCCATTTTTTGTACCTAAACAAAAAACTATTGTTGAAACGAAAAAACAAATAAGAATAATAAACATAATCCTACACTGCTATAACCAAATCATTTCAGCGGTCAGTTCCTTGGGTTATGATTCTTGAATGGTGGGGGGCTATGACGTCACACTTGGCTGTCAAAGTTGTCAACCAAAAGAATAACCACGGTATTTACCGATAAATAATCATTCCAGGCTGAAAATCTCAAGTACCAGTCGAGTTCAGCTGAACTCTGTTTTGAACCAAGATTTTACAACTGGGCCTAAGGGTTATTAAAAATGTTATGGTACTATTATATTGCATTTGGGAAGAGGTAAAAATAAAAGACAATGGGTATTTTTTAAATCAAACTTTTATTAATTGTTGATACCTACATATTATTATGGTGATATTAAAAAAATAAAAGCTGCATCTACAGTAATCACATAAACTAACAAAATTTCGAATCGTATATGTATACCTACATAACTACTTAAATATATAATATAAAAAATACCACTTGGAAAAAGCAAAAGCAGGTAATAAGAGAGTTTTCATTTTTAATTTATATTTTCTCAAAAAGGACTCTTGTTTTTCAAAAAAAAAAGAATGAAGAAAATCCTAGCTTCAGTTGCTTTGTGCAATAATTTATTCCAAATCTGGAAATTAATGAAAGCATTGAGGGCAGTGGCGCAGCCAGGGGGGGGGGGGGGGGCAGGGGGCCCGGCCCCCCCCCCAAGGCTTTAGAGAAAAATAGAAAAATAACAAAGTAGACGAAAGCTGTAAACTGCTCATATCAGAAAAAGTTTAAAGGAAAGCGAATCTGTGTTTTTTCCTATATTTTTTTCTGCATGCCCCCCCCCCAGACAAATTTTCTGGCTGCGCCACTGATTGAGGGGGTTATATTTATACCTACTCATAGCTCACCTTCGATAAATGACTTTAAGCCCCACTCTAAAAGAGCAACTTTACACGCCATTGTCAGACCAGTGTCAGTGTAAATCCAAAATCCAAGGTTATAAATGATAAATAATTCAAAATGATTTAAATAATTCACCAACGGCACCAACGCAACGCACTAACTAACTAATCAACGCTTACAGCAAAAAATGGCGCGACACGAGACAAACACCTGATCACAAATGAGCGGGCTCATGCTACATGCTTGCACGGAAGCAATAATTGGAATGCCCAGAAAAATTACAAAATAAACCATTATGGCCGCTTCGGGTTGTTTCGCGAATAGCCGAAGCCAATAACGGCCCGCTTAACTTTATTATGGCTATAACGCACATTTTAAAGACTGAAAATCAACTAATAGTTGTTGAAAAACGTATATCGATGGTTATGAAGATCAATTTTAAAGATCGTGTGTAGTAACCATATTAAAGTATCTAGCTACTGTAGTAAATTCGTATTAAGAAATTTGAATACAATACATCAGTAAATTAAATTTTTAACAATAGTATTTTATAGGAGCTCATAGATAACTATAGGTGATAATGAGGATAATTCAACAAATAATTTTTAGCAACCATAAAAATACGTTATTCAGTAATAGATAGATAATTTATGGCAGTTATTAGAGATATTTTGTCTGCAATTCCAGTAAGACAATTTCCAGAATTCAATTTCCTCAGTGTACTGAGACTATCAAATATTGCTTTAAATTCTTTGCGACTCTTACTTACGTTATTTTACATAGTAACATTCCCGTTCCAGAAACTTCAAAAGCTACATATAAAAATTAGAAAAACTAGAAAATCGTTTTTTTAGTGTTAATTACCTAACAACGACTTATTCACAGTTCCGATCTGTGGGTATTTGGGTATTGCCTAATAATGATGTCCAATCAAGCATTAGAAATGAAACTACATGCAATATATCATTTTATCTTTTTATTTTTATAGCCCAAACACTACCGATTCCAAATAATAATATCCAGCCAAAAAGTATACCGAAACCGTTAATTACTTGAGGATGCCAAAGTGACCATCCTTTGGACATTATATTTCTGAAAGATATAATAGGGATGGTACAGGGTGTTGCCATTGATATCCATCTTAGTACTGTTGGTATAGCCTCTATTGGCCATACATTACCTAAAAAGAGTTATTAGTAATCACTGATTTCGTCCACAGGATGCTGCTCAAAATAATAGTGAAATTTCAGCTTTTCAACCAAATTTATTATCAATTAAATGCCAACATTTCGGTCTGTCTGTACCATCTTCAGGGCCAGACTTATCAGGTTTTTTCAATTGATCATCAATAATGAAATGAAACTAGGAAAATCAAAAAATACCCGCTTGTTTACTTGGTTTGTGTGCTAAAAACCTCATAAATTTGCCACTGAAGATGGTGCAGAAAGCACCGGAAAGTTTGTTCAAATATCTGAAATTTTGACAAAATTTATGAGAATTATTCAGGTAATTTTCATTAAAAAAAATACTTGCCACATATCAATGTCAGCGGCAAATATCCTCCCGTGCATGCTAAATTAGCTTGCGTAGAATCCTCACATACAGTTGACACCAAAAACCCTAGACATAAATAATAATTTGCTCAAATACAAGAACTATTTGATCGATATTGTTCACTGATCTAAAAAATAAATGGATAAACAATCATACGGCTTGATTGGCAAAATTTGTGCGAAAATTTGGGGTCAATATTCTATGAACAGTTGTGCAACGGAACAGCCTAACACCTGCGCAGTGTCTTATCTTTCGAACAACTGTTCTAAATTTTGAAATTCCTTCATTTTCATTGGCCAGATTTTGTGCACACACAGTACATGTATCTACTGCGCACGCTTACAGCTGTCCCAGTCAGTTGTTTTTGTTTAGATTATGACCTCGTAAATTAGCAGCATTAGAAGCGTTCTTTGTTTATCCATTTATTTTTGAGATCAGTGATATTGTTACACAATTAAATTGGTGCGCCACTGTATATTCCGAGCACGGATATACAGTGGCGTTTCCATTGTGTGATTTCTTATTGTTTCATGAAAATTTTCGATAGTTATTCTGATTAATTGATTGGTTCATACTATTATACACATTTACTAAAAGATGAAAATTCAATTTTTGCTGGTAAAAATAAAAGTTGATTGGGATTTTTACATCAAGGTAGTTCTAGTTTACTTATGCGCGAGGTGTGTGAATAATAATAGACCGCATTATCGGACGAATTTTTTATTTTCACATCACGGCAAACGTTTCGACACTAATAAGTCTGTGTCATCAGAGTTAGACTAATTTGGCATGTAAACTAAATCGAAATCCTTTCGCATCATGACCTATGACAGGAGCCATTATCATAAAACGGAGGCCAATTTATATATTATTTTAAAAGGCGTTTCGGGTTTCAAAATACTTAAGTGCTTAGTCAAGCGATTCTTTTGGAATCAGTCGTGAGAATTGATAATACAAATCATTCTCGCAGATTACCTACATAGGTACTTCACAGCAAGGAAATCTTCTTTATGCTTTATTTGAAATACTTCTAATGGTAGCTGAATAAAAAATCATCTTTTACTTATGCTATAGGTCTTTAATAATATCAGTTTAAGGGAATTTTTATGGCGGCCATGAAGGTTGAATGAGTTCGTTATACCAATATTGGTAAATTTTACGATCGACAATTTGCAAACGTGTTTTCTCCAATGACTTTTCTCGAGAAAATAGCAATGAACAGAAAAAATATAGGTGCAATTTTTCATGTATGTATTGTGGATGTTTCCCAATAAATAATGCTCCAGTTCTAAATAGTTTCCATACAAGAAAGAGCACCCTCAAAAATACCCTATAGCTAGCATTTTTTGACATTAGCTTTTAACCATCAGTTACTAGATTATATGAAGAAAATCGAAATTTTGGTTTTCATGTGAAAAAGCAGCAAGTCATTATGGCGTAAGAAGTAAGAATATTGCTCCTTACAAATGACAAATTCGGAAAAGCAAATTAATTTGCATTCCACTTACGCATTGAATAATTAGTAATGATTAATATTTTTTCAAAATTTTGGCCTGCTGCAATATAATCACTATACGTAAGTGTCCAATTATTATTGCGAATTGTATAGGAATTTCCTTTCAATCCTTTTAATGAACGTTCATTTGCATTTCCCGGGGAACTGGGAGCAAAAAACAATAAACTGTACCTTTATGCAATGGATTTGGGTTTCATGAAAACCTATATAGCTATGCATTGAAAAAAACATCTACTTCTTTCTCGAGATTTCCACAGATGGCTTTATGAAGTTTATTAATGATATACCTATCTATATATCAGTATTTTATTGTCCCAGAATATGTGGACAATCTCTGAGATTCAAATCAAAAACAGACAATTCTGATATTTTTTTTACAAACTCACCATAGGCCATTCCAGCAACCCCTTGTAAATATATTAATGCAAAAATAATCCATCTATTCCCAACGAATTCCACTTCTGTTATAAAATAAAGCATAACCTGGACTTCTAGGCATTCTACCAGCATTACGCAACATTGAAGAATTAAATGCGATAAAGTTATTTCCAGCGCAGATACTCCAGCTATTATGGATCTATCCCAAACTCCTTCTATTCTTTCACGAGTGATGATTTGGCAGGTCATCGTGGTGCCCAGAAGATAAATTAACCTGAAATGGCATAAAAAATAGCACCATTATCGAAAAAAGGAGACCAGGGAGGGCATCTACTTACATTATTACCATTCCTGGTGTTACAAAGATAGTCAAAGGCTTTTGATTATCGACATATAGAAAATTATTTTTGATCGGGATTCGGGCTAATTTTTCGTCCAAATTACAATCAAGAAATAATTCTTTTTGGAAATCCAAAAATAAAAACAAAAGTTTAGCTGCTAAAGCACCTCCTGTTAGTCTGTTTGACATATCCATGTGAGCTTTAATTTCACCAAAATCTACGGTCCATTCGTGAGAGTCTGTGCCTAAATGTATCTAGAAATTTTGATAAACCACTATGTTTTTTGAGCTAACATAAAGAATCCTTACTCTTTCTTCATAGGCGTCTGTAAAATTTGATGGCATGTAAAGAACTCCCAAAGTATCTCCATGTTTGACTGATTCAAGGGCTTCAGGAAATGAATCGTACAATACCTGAGAGGAATAAATTTTTATAAAACCGGGATTGGTCATTTTTAGGGTAACATGAGAGATCCTGAATGTGCGGTGGTATGGACGTGCAAAAATTCTAAATTAGATATTTATCGGGACTGAATTGACTTATAAAGCGAGCTACTTGCCTTGTTGATCATAGGATTTTCCAAATAAGTTAAAAACCGACAAGTCAAATTCCTAAAATGACATTCATGGTTTGAACCGAGTGTTACAGTTTGGTTCCAGTTCAAATCATCGCAAGAAATTGTCTGACTTTCGTCATTAACTATGGCTAAATTTAATTCAAGTGGATCTTTACCTATTGAGTTTTGAAAGCACCATAATTGAAAGATGGGAAACAATAAAAGGAAAACGATTCCTCTAAAATAGAAGAGTCAATCAACATGATTCTTATGGGGAGTTTTTGTACCTACCCAAAATTTCTATAAAATTGCTTCCAGTTCTTATTAAGAAGAGCTTTCATCCGTCTTTTGTCCAAGCTCATAGCTGACATATATGTTATTTTTTCACTTTTAGCATTATCTTTTGAGTTGGTTAAAGCCTGAAAAAAATTTTTAGAACTATATTTTTTTCAGATACATTGCATTCACTAACATCTCTTGATCCATACCCTGCAACAAAACTTTCCATTGATGAAGAAGTGGAAGATGCAGCGCTACCTAAAGTACTTATACCGTTTGCTGCCGAACTAAGCTTACTCTCGTCTTGTCTCTGGCTTAGCAGCAAAAAGACTTCTTCTAAGCTTTCTTTGTTGTAGAAGGAAAGCAGTTCATTCGGTGAGCCTTGGACAAGAAGTTTGCCTTTTCTCAAAAGACCAATCTTGGAATTTAAAAATAAATATTCAAATTCTCAACTTAAAAATTAACTTGAATTTCACTGAAAAACTTAGGTAGGTAGGTACCTACTCACCTTATCTGCTTCTCTAGTTTCTTCTATGTAATGAGTTGTAATGATTACTGTTATATTTTTTGTTGCAACTAAAGATTTCAGATGAGCCCATATTCTAGGAAAGAAAAAAAATACAATTGTTTCTTGACCATGAGCTGTGCGCCAGAAAAAAAAAGAACAAACAACTAGAACCCAGAACCATTTTCAATTTGTTGTAACTTTTTTCAAAATTATTTTTTCTAATGCGCTTTCCGGTATTCGAAAGCCCATATCGTCTTGCTATCAACTCGCGCTCCACACTTCCAATGCACCACTAACGGCACTAACTGATCTTTGACGCACTGGTCCAATTTATCACTGACTTTTTACCTCGGTGGTAGACTTTTCATTGCTTCTGAAATTTTCTAGATAATTCCCTACCGGTTGTTTGAATTCGCTAGACTATTGAGCGAATGATGAATTTTATAGTCATCAGGTAGTGTTGTAAGATTGTGCGAAATTTCCCCAACTTGGGAGATTTGAAACTATGCCAATTATGTGGATATAAGCTTTGTTTTCTTTGGAATAATATTTTGCCACGAGGTTTAGTTAACATGGGCTTCCAGATACCGAAAACAGCCAAATTTTTCTTATTATTTCAACAAATTTGAAATACATAGTGGTAAAAGCTGCTTTTTTTTGGCGAGCAGTTTAGATTGAAAATAAAGTGTACATACTTTTCCCTCAGTATAGGATCAACGCCCACAGTCGGTTCGTCCAAAATAAGAATTTCCGGACTATGAACAATAGCGGCGGCAAAAGATACTCGTCTTTTTTGTCCACCACTGCAATGCTTCAGTAATCTATAAATATGTTTTTCTATTATATTCAGAACAAGTTCTTGCTGTTATTTCAACGTACTTGTTTCCATCGGGAAGTTCTAATAATTTTGAGAGATAATGAAATTGCTGTTCAATATCTTTCTCTTTCATTTTAAAGATAGTGCCAAAATAGTACATGGTATCTTTGATGGTGAATTCGTCGATTAATGCCAATTCCTACGAACAAAGTTGAAATAGGTAGGAAATAACAAAGAAAATTTAATAATACCTGAGGCATGTACCCAATCTTGCGTCCAGGAATACCACTTCCTTTTTCTCCAGGCCTCACACCAAGTACCCATATTTCACCAGTATCGACGTTTTTTCTACCAATGATACAGCTCAATAATGTGGTTTTACCACAACCACTGGAACCAAGTAACCCATATCTGCAAATAAATATCATTTGTATTTCATTCACATTTCAGTGTATACTGAGCTTACATGGTTCCACGTTCAACATTCATAGAAAATCCATCTAGAATAACTTTTGATCCATAAGATTTGATTATATTTTGAACACTGATGGCTGAATTTGAAGAAGTCATTTTCTGCAATCAAGAAGCAAGAACTATTTTCATGATAATATGGTGTGATTTTATGCGAAAAAAGTGATTCCTGAGTTAACCTTCGAATTTCGCAAACATGAACTTTCATCCTTTGGAATTGAAAAAATGTATTTCGTTCTTTATACCTACTTAAAGGAAGTTTTTATTCCTGATTCTCATTCAAATTATATAGGAAACGAATCATTATAAATAATATAGATGTAAACAAAGACTTTTTTCTTTACAGTAATTTTTAATGAAAACACCTTATCAATAAACCTGGGCAGCGAAAGCCTCACAAACTTTATCGATAATTTTTAATTTGATAATCGGTTCCATAGGTCCTTTCACATGTGCCTTCCATTAAGCCAACTACAAGAAAAAGGTTTAGGAACAATGAATTGTCAAAAAACTCACGAGCAAATTTCTTTCAACCTGTGCCTGCCTAGAAGAGCATTATTGAACTTACATTTCTATTTATTCTAGAGAGTTTCCACTTGAAAAATATTGTGCATTTAAGATAAAATTTACACGCGTCATCGTCAGACAAACAAACAAATTAATTTAAAACCCGAATTTACTCTGAATTGTTTTTGCACGGAGAACACTGGTCATACTGGTCAATTGTTTATTGAAAAATCATTATATTAAGTATTTTGGTATATTTCCTTCTAAATATTCCAGCATTATATTTTATTAATTGCGTTCGAAATACACGATGGTTGGTATTAAGAAGATAATAACACGAAGAGCTAGTAACTTAAGAAACAAGTAACTTTTAGTATCAATGATCAATGTCAATTAACTATTCCATACATCAAAATAATACTCACTTTAGTGACATGTCTCCTCACAATGTGAAATTCAAGAAGTATAATAAACTCCCCTACTAATATTACGTTCACTGCCCATGAGTCACATAATATATGCTTCATGATATATGGTGTCCATGAGACATAATGTGGTTCATTTGCATAGAGCTAACATAGGTAAGGTTGTTATTTTGGATGTTGTGGTGTAGACAATTTTCTCTAGAGTTAGATAGTCCAGCAGGCAAGTATTTTCTGCTGGACAGTATTCCGAAATATATGATATTTTGGTGTATGTCATTTGTGGGTAGTTTGTGGAGTAAAATCTGAGTTTTCGACCTCGAGGACCCTGTGCTAGCTTGGCGGGAGTCAAAAACCACGAAATTTTCGTACTTTTTAGTTTTTTGCTTATATTTTTAAACCATGCGGAATACACCTAGTTATAAAGTTAAAAATATTAAATTTCCTTCAAATTTCACTAGTCAAACGTAGGTATTATTTAACATAATAGTAACCGAGATACACTAGCTCAAAGATACAGAAAGAAAATCAACTCGTCAAAAATTTCTTCCGGCCGACCACAATAGGCCCCTTGCATCAATTTTTTTTATTGCTGATTTCGTTTGTTAATGAAAAATAAGTCAACACGTGTTTTTTTTTTTTTTTTTCTTGTTAGACAAAAATTGACGGAGATACAACGCTTTGAAATGTGCCTATTTTTCATATCCTATGACGTCACACCATGCTCAGTATAGACAGTATATCTATATATACAAAACTTAATCTTTGTATAACTTTCGGAATAATCATATTTGGACAAAATAAAAAAATACCTACTTATAGATTTTTTTTCGATTTCCTACAGTTATCAATTTAATTTTTCATGCAAGGACCCTATTCAAACTAAGCATAGGATAAACATATTTTATCCTCATCTCTTTCACGTGCACCCAGAGACGATATATGTCTACTGTGCACCTGAATTATTTTCCGCGTTAACCGCAACTGAAACCTCGAAATTATCGGACTTTTCCAGTTTTTTGCTTATAACTTCTCAAAAAAGTTGAAGAACTTCAAATTTCACTGGCCAAAAGTATTCGATCCAAAATAGTTACTGAGATGTATGTGGTTCAAAAATTCAAGTAATTTCTCAGATTATCAAAAATAGCATAGAAATGCAGGTTTTTGCCCTATAACTTTGGAAAACACAAACTTTGACTGTGAGTACAGCAAAGATCGTCGATATCGTTCTACTGCTTTGGTTCTTTGGTAACTTATGCCAACAGGATACCCATCAAAAACCACTATAGCATTGCTCCCGGAGCGTTTTTGAACATAATCCATGTAATTCTGCCACGATTCAAATATATCTCTTGATTTGCTCCACACAACCTTATGTAGCAGGTACCGACCATCAATAACTGCGCATTTGCTGCTGCCGAAGTTTACTGGTTCTTGTTCAGGAGTGAATGCCGCATACAACATAGACTTTGTGCCCTTGTGCATACTTCCCTCTGTGAAGAGAGACATCGGGCGGGAAGGGGGCTAGCTTGAATTTCAACAAGTTTCTAAAGTCATCATCTGATTGTTTTATCATGCGAATCCGTTGAAAGAGAGTGAGAGGGTCTATTGTAAACTTTTTGTCTTTAATTTTCACACAACAGGAAACAGTCGCTAGAGAAACAACCGCTTGAACTTCATGGAAATTCCCTTTTTCCAAACAGGTCTTCATACAGGTGATACCAATAGTTCGAGCTAAGTGGCAGTTCACAACTTCAGGAGAAACAGCTCCTGTGCCTATTGAGAATAGCTCTTTTGTATCCGGGAAAGGTGGATGGTCAGTAGATAGGCGAGTTCAGCACGGATGAAGTAAAAATTAAAAAAGGTTTATTTTCCAAAAATAATTATTAAAATAGGATATAATAAAAAATAATTCAAGGGCACAGTAGACTGTGAGTGCACGTGAAAGAGATGAGAATAAAAGATGTTTATCTCATGCTGAGTTTGAATTAGGTTCGGACGGGAAGAAATTTTTGACAAGTTGAGATTTTTTTAAATATCTTTGAACCACGGTATTTCGATTACTATTGCGTTAAAGAATACTTTGACCAGTTTAATTTGAAGAAAATTTAATTTTCTTCAACTTTATAAATAGGTGTATTCCGCTAAAAACGCATGGTTTAGAAGTTATGAGCAAAAAACTGAGAAAGTTCGAATTTTATAGGTCTTTCGACTTCCCTCAAGTTAGCACAATTTAGATTTTACTCCACAGACTATCCATAAACAACATGCCAAAATATCAATAACCTCCGAATACTTTCCAGCTACCCCCTTTATTTATTACTTGCCTGCTGGCCTAAGAGTCTAACATGACGATATTATTTTTTCTATCGGATTAAGATCTGTGAATTATAGAGCAAATAATATGTTACTTGAAGGTAATGAAAACAGATCTGGTGGATGATTGAAAAAAAAAAATCAATTTGACTCATTGGGGATAGTCAACATGTCAAACTCTATAACCTGGAGGAGCTTCTAGTACCTACCTACCTAAATAAGATGTTTGATGTGCAAACAGAGTTGAAAGTGATATTTTCTATTTTCTTACCCAGTAAATTTTTCTTGATTAGTTTTTACCACCAACAAAGCAGGATAGCACAGGAGGGCTCCAAAACAATAATTCTAATCTTCAGTAACAAGATATCCTACTGGCGTTAAAACTCACGTAAAGACATGATTCGAAATGTGACCGAAATATAAAAGTTTTTCGATGCAAATCATTACCATTAAAGCAAATAGATCGCAATTAAATTTAATATACCTACGCGTGTATCAAGTTTTTTAGTATGGAAATTTGTAATAGTTTCAATCATAAATTATTTATAAGGTAAAATTGACCTTTGTGATGGTTTGCAATAATTATTTAATAAATTTAATATATTGACAATATAAAGGTTGCCCATAGTAGGTATATGTAGTTTTTATAACATAAATCTAGTTTAAATAAGAAATGACAATGACATTATTCGGAAATACTTACAAATCAATAAGAGAAGGTACTATATATCTCCTTAAAATCTTTTTTATCCCAATGTAACTGATAACACAATAATTTGATGACAAGCATCGGAGCGCTGTGAAATCATAAACGAATTGGCGGTGCTTAAATGATAACATCGATAACTCAAATTCTTTTTTAGGTAGGTACCATGTTGAGTGTTGACAACGTTCTTTTGAAGAGTCTCAAAACTCAAAATAGGTACTAGGTACTTGGTACTTGGTTTCTACAATGTATTAGTACTTGGAATGTTGTTGGATTCCCTGTGCGTCTGCGTTGCAACCGATTTGAGCCTTGAGGGCATATACACGTAAACTTGTGACAGACTCGCTCCTAAAAGCACCACTTTCATTTAACTCACGTAGCATTTTGACACAATGCTGCTACAGAGTAAGAGAGTGGAGTTAAAAGTGTGGAGAAAAAGGCGTAGAAACGTTCTCTCTATAATCTTTCTTTAAGCTGATACAGGTTTCACTGAAGCGCACAAAGCATGATATAATTTCTTACTTATCTCTATTTTATGATTTCTGTGATTTTATAATTTTCACTCAGTAGTGTGCATGTAAGGAAAATAAAATAAAAGAATGAAGTCTGTAATTCAGGATCCCCTTACTCAATGTATTTCTTCGCAATTTACGAGTTTCCTACATTACAAAATGATAATTATGATTTTTTTCACATATCAGTAGGAATTTGAATTCATTGGCTAATTATAAATTCAATAACATTTTAATTACCCGTTAGGTACCTATCCTTTAAGTGGTTTGCTCATTAAAATCAAAAAAATATTGTAGTAATGATTATTAATGTTAATAATTGCAGAAAGGACTATGTAAACTTTTGTGGTTTCATGATAAAATTTTATCAGAATTTGGAATTAGGCAAAATAATGCAATTTCTAGACTTTTTTTTTATTGGTGATGATAACGATCGATATAGAGAATTCCTTTGTTTGCAATTTGTGTCACAACTTTTTTCGGATATTTCTGCTAATTTCTTTGTTAAGTTCTTCACATCCATTCATATCTCTCCTTGGTTTTACCCAGTTTTATCCAGTCTCGATCATTGCAATGCTGTTCAAGATGTTTTCATAAAGATACTCTTTGCCAACTAGGGAAAAGACTTCCGAAATTGTTCCAAAAATAATATGGTGAATTACTTCTACTAGTTCAACCCTAGAATACTAACCCACGTAAATTTTACGTGTGCTTTTTGTTTCATATACTGCCATTTCTCAAATATGTCCGCTTAAATTTCAAGAGTGCTTCCCCCAATACCAGTAGGACCAGGATCGCCTTTGTTACATAAATGCCAGTCGGAGAGAATATGAGCGTAAATTTGTTCTGAGTAGTGTTTATTCAAATAAATTAAGATTATTTCTCAAAATTTCCAAAATATAAGCGGCTGGAATTATTATTTTGTATTCTGTGTAAATGAAAGTTTTGAGGAGATTTTTTTTCAATTCTACTTATACTTACATGATGTATACAACTAAAAACATACTCACACAATATATACAGACACACCTAGTAAAACTTATATTTCAGAAACACCTAAAAACATGGAACACGTAAATTTTACGTAGGTTTGTATCTACGTGTGTTTTTAAGGGGTATTTTAGGGTTAATACTGCATTCTTCAAGGTTCAAGAATTGAATAACGTCCAGTTCGAAAATAGCATGGAACCAGTAGCCACCCACGTGATGAAAAAGTCGTTCCTGTTTTTCTGAAAATTGAACTTTAAAATGTCAAATTTTATCTAATCAATGATATAATTAGACATATAAAAGTCTTTTTTTTTGGAATATTCAGAATAATCCAAGTTACGATTCTCCTACGCGATGGAATCTATTGAGTTAGCAGCATCGGCAGTACCGACTAAAACCAGGCCAGTCGGTAACCGCCAACAAATGCGGACTAAGCAGAAAAATACTAATTGTAATAACTGTATATAGGGTTTTTATATTGATTAGTTTAATATAAATAGCTGTAATTATTTCAATATAGTCAGTATCTAACAAACCATTGTTGTACTCACTACAAACTCAATTACCCCTTGCGGTATCACTTCATGTCTGACGCGCAATACAGCTTCAAACTCAGCTCACTGGCTGGAGGATTCGTCCTTAGAAAATGGTCAACAAATAGCATGGAAGTTTTGCAGTCGATCCCAGAAAAAATGAGAAATCAGAGTATGATAGAGATAACTGAGGATCAGACGAAAAAGTCACTTGGCATTCATTGGGCACCTCGTGACGATACATTTCATTTTATGGTAGATATATCAGCAATCACAAAGATAACAAAGAGAAGGATTCTATCCGAAGTATCGAGGCTATTCGATCCACTTGGCTGGATTGCCCTGGTAACCATAAAGGCGAAGCCTCTAATACAAGATCTATGGCTACAAAAGTTAGGTTGGGATGATGAACTACCGGAAAATATACAGTTGAAGGGGAAGACATTCCAAGAAGATTTGAAAAGCTTAGACAAAATCGTGATACTACGATGGACTAACCAAACTCCTGGAAGCCACTTTGAGCTACATGGATTCTGTGATGCATCTGGAGAAAGCATATGGCGCAGTGGTATATATGAAAATACTGGCAACTGATACAGAAGGTAAATTACGTGGTAACTGCTGGTAAAATTACGTATTAACTGCCAAATCAAAAGTAGCCCCGGCGAAGATGCGAGCCACTCTTCCAAGACTAGAGCTATGTTTAGCACTGCTACTAGCAAAACTATTGAGAAGAGCAGTCGAGATTCTATCCTCTGATTAAACGAATATTCATGCATGGACAGACTTCATGATTAGCTAGACTGCTGGAGGCATGTCAGATCTGAACAGAACTCAGCAGATATCGTCTCAAGAGCGATGGAACCGTCTAAACTAATAAGTCAAATGATGTGGTGGGAAGGTCCACCATGGCTAAAGTCAAATATGACCGAGCAGGCAGAAAGCGAAACAACAATCGATCCAATACGTGAAGAAATCAACACATGTCACATAGTTTCCAACAGATGACGAAATAATTAGAAGATTCTCCACACTGAATAAACTAATAAGGGTAATTTCGTTCTGCAAGTGTTTCATCCAAAACTGCAAAACGAAGGTGAAGAAAACCGAACGTCCATCGGTATAGGAATTGCCAGATGCACTAGAAGCTTTTGTCAAAATCGAACAGCAAATTTATTTCCCTAATAAAATCCAAGCTCTACAAGAAAAGTTAGCTTTAAGTAAAAACAGCAAAATCTTAAACTTGAATCCATTCCTAGATGGTAAAGAAATTTCGCGTGTCGGGGGAAGACTTGAGAAATCGCAGTTGCCATATGAGACGAAACATCCCATAATTTTAATTTATAACTGACCGCTTGCATTCTAAATGCTCATCACAACATTCTCAGCGGAGGAAATCAGTTAGCTAACACGCGGAAACAGTTTTGGATCATCAATGGGAAGCGAGTAGTAAAAACTATGATTAGTAGATGTGTAAAATGCATCCGTTTTAGAGCTCAAACAGCGGAACAACTAATGGGAAATCTTCCAGCAGCCAGAGTCTCTCCATCATACCCATTTCTACATATAGGGGTAAACTACGCCGGTCCAATGCAAATTAAGACAACCAAGGAAAGAGGCCACAAATCATACATTGTGTGCCTTGCCACTAAAGCTATACATATTGAAGTTGTGAGCGATATGTTAGCAGACACATTAATAGCCGCGTTCAGACGTTTCACCGCAAGAAGAGGCGCGCACATATTATAGCGATAATAGTACAAACTTTGTCGGAATGAGCAAAACATTACAAAAAAAAGTTATGCAGATAGTCAAAATATCCAATTTTTATTTATATTATATTTATATTTATAGTCTCTATCGGAACCCAGTGGTATTTCATCCCACCAGCAGCTCCCCATTTTGGAGGACTTTGGGAAAGAGGGGTGAAATCAATTAAATACCACCTGAGGAGAGTGATTGGAGAAACTTGTCTCACTTATGGAGAGTTATCCACACTCATGCACCAGATAGAAGCTTGCCTTAATTCACGACCCCTGTGTCCACTAAACGATGATCCCACTGACATAACACCTCTGACGCCAGGACACTTTTTGGTGGGAAGGGCACTTGTGGAACCACTAGTCGTCAGATTACTTGCACCAATTTCAACAACGATACAATAATGGAAAAACATTAGAAAATCGCTTGAAATCGGACAGCTATTCTTGATAAAAAATAAGGATATCAACCCTAGGAAATGGCCTCTGGCAAAAATAATCAAACCACACCCATCAGAAGATAACACAGTAAGAGTAGTAACCAATAAGTCTGATGGAAGTTCAATGAAGCAATCAGTTCATAAACTCATTCCAATATACACAGAACAAGAGAAAGTGCGAGGCAATTTAAATTGTAGGAGTGTAAAACTATGGAAGGTACCCTTCGTGGCTATATTATTTCTCGTAACATTGAAAAGCTCTACAGCGGAGAAATAGCTATAGTTTATACTATCCACCTGCAGGAATATATACTCAGCATATAGGATTTAGGACATGCCAAAATAGACAGGGGAATATTAAGACTCGAACTGAAATTTGATAAAAATAAATTAGCCAATGATACGCGACCTATAGGTGATTCTATTAAACAGGTTGAAGTTCTTTGTGATAAGGCAAGGGAATTAGCGTCAAACACAAGGTGTTTATCGCCACTTAAAGGAATTGCAGAGACAAATGGAATCAATGGACCAAGGAATGAAAATCAATAAAATCATAAGTGCAAATAGACGTAAGCGAGGATTAGTGGGAAAAATACTAACATCTTTATTTGGGGTTAATGATGAAGTTCACCATGACATTGAACAATTGGAAACAAATCAGGAGAAACTTATTCAGGCATCAAATCACCAGATCAAGCTCATGTTACATGCGTTACCGGAATTCAATGAAACAGAAACTCGTATCAATGGAAACCTCAGAAGATTACAAGAAAGAATGCCACTGAAAAAACTTCGCTGTAGATATGACTGCAATTTCTCTATTATGAGGTAGTTAGAACTTCGTATATGAGGTAAGTTATGAGTCTTTACTATGAAGACGTGTTACGGTTGAAATTCTCAAAGTGGCTTGAGCTTATTTCAATTCCATTGAGAGCTTAAGATAACTTCATCCTGCATTAATAGTCAAGTCATCCTGACTTTCTTAAAAATATACCTGCATTTTCTATTGATACAAAAATCCATTTTCTGAAAAAGAAAGGATTTTTAATCATAAATACCAAAGTCTACTTTACCGCATACTATGCGGTGAAGATAACTTTACTGCACACTTTGCAGTCCACTTTACCGTATACTATGCGGTAGAGTACTACTTTCCATTTGCAAATAAGTGCGGTAAAGTGCACTTTACCGCACGCTCGTAGGTAAAAATAATAACCACCCTCAAAGACCTCAACATAGGAATTCCATTGATAATGGCATTCCATTACAACCTCTGCATCTGTACCATGATCCGTCAATAAGAACAGCACAGGAAGACAATTAGAACGCCCGGGCAGAATGTCTAATCAATAATATAATTAGACATAGAAGTCCTTTTTTTTGGGGAATTTTCAATACTTATAATCCAAGTTACGATTTTCCTACGCAATGGAATGTGTTGAATAAGCAGCATCGGCAGTACAAAACCAGGCCAGTCGTTAACCACCGGACTAAGCAGAAAAATAATAATTGCAATAAATGTATATAGAGTTTTTGTATTGATTAGTAATTATTTCAATAAAATCAGTACCTAACAAATCATTTTTGTACTCACTACAAACTTAATTACCCCTTGCGGTATCACTTCATGTCTGAATAGAGTCATCAGCGCTCAACAGACAAATTTTCTTGATTGGAAAAGGTTTACCAGTTAAACGCAGTTTTAACAAGACTAGCATTTATTATTAACCTTAATATTTTTACAAGATAAAAACTAAAAACATTGTAGAGGTAAAGCAATGCCTTAAAGTGAAATAATTGCAATTCAAAACGTGCCCTTCGTAATATTCATGTGAACAGAAAGTTGTCGCCTGACGATGAGAAAGAAAAGCTGTAAAATGTTCTTAAAATATAATTTCACATCTACAAAAATACACTGATCCATTTTTTCTAATTTTACATTTAATTTAATACCCACTTAGTACAAAATAGTGCACCTTAATCCATACTATATCCTATTTATTATAATAATAACTATAGCCTTATCACACCCACTTTATTAGAAGGCAGAAGTCTCGAACATTCAAATATAATTTTTCAATATTTCTAAAATTACTGTTTAAATTTGGATACAGTTTTTAATGTATTTCTCCCCTCCTTAAACTTATTAAGCCTGATAAAAATAATTGTAGGTAAAACAATTTGCGCGAAATATATAATTTGTATCCATAAGCCTAGATTGGTACCTATCCGAATTACAATTAAATATTTTATTTTATGCAAAATAGCTGCATAACATATTATTTACACACTAAATATAAAAAAAAGTCAATGAATGAAGTACATGAAAGCAAGGAAATACAAAGCAAATCAAGGAATGCAAAAAACCAATACATTTTAAACCTTTTGACAGCAGAAATCATGCATAAGAATATTTCGCATAACATTTGTGAAATTTCCAGGGAATCTCTTCTTCTCTCACATGCATTTTTTTTGTGTCAAAGAACCAGGGGTCGTATTCTCGAATATTCTCGCATACGAAATTTTAAACGATTTCGAATGCTCCCCGTTTAATTTACATTGCTGTGAATCAAATTTTCGTGTACGAAATGTACTCGAATGAATTCGAAAATACAACCCCCGAGGAGCCACATAATAATTGCCGAATTAAAATCCAGGCTTGCAACCTCTCTGGCTAAAAACTGCTATGCGAGGTGTTCTAATGCTCAATTTCTACTACGGCATAAAATTGCATTACCCATAGCGATTGAAAATCAAAAGTAGTTAAATTGCATACGAATTACATTAGGTCTGTTTCTGCAGAAATCACAAACCAGTCAGTGTGAATTTCATTGGTTGAAACTAATTTTCTGTTTCTGACTATTTTCACCCAATGAAATTCGCTTTGACTGGTTTGTGATTTCTGCAGAAACTGACCTAATATTGCAAGTTATTCTGAGGCTTGAAAAATGATAATCATTGGTTGGCTTATTGTGCATCCCAACTTCCTTCCTGCCCTAGAAGAATCCTGTCCCCTGTATCAGGCTGATACCCCTTGAATAAGATTTTCAGGAGGTAATCATTGGTCAGTAGGAATACATTTTTGCATTTTGCACAATAAAAAAATATATTGCCTAAAATTATAACTATTCTATGGATTTATAAAATGTAGCAAAATTAGTTTCCATGGTATTGATTTAAAAAAACATTTACTTGTACTGACAAGAGGAATAAGTTATTTTATGTTTACCCTGGAAATCGGTTATTTATTCCCCAGTTAATTTTAAAATTTATGGATGGATTACACTTTTGAGCAATAACCTATTTACATGTTCAAAAATTTAATACATCAAACATTTCAGAATGTGATAATATCTATCTAAAACTTTTGTGAAGTTTTGATAACCATTATCACAATCCAAAACAACACTCTACACACAATATTGGTAAGTTTTGCTTAAAATAGGTGTCCCTAACACTTAATACATGCCATTTAATAAAAAAATAAAAAGGAAAACCTTCAGTCTGAAATTCTTCAGGGAAACAATATTTTGGTAAATGTAAAACAAATGAAATATTTACTTGTGATGGTATAAAATACAGGGTGCAGATTTTGCATTAAATTTGCTGTTAAATAAAATGAGTCTATGGTCCCTGATATTGATTACCTATTGATTGCTTGAGAGTGATTGAAACTATCATTCAGAACTTATTACAGTAAAAACCTTGCACACCCTGTAGAATATTTTTTATATCAATATATAGGGTGGTCCAAAAAAAACCGGAATTTTGTTTTTGAGCTGTAACTTTTTTATTTGTTTACCAATTTTCTTTTGTTTTGGCTTGTTTGAAAGAGAAATTTACAGACTAACGAATCAGGGTAAAACTTTTGACATTTGAAAAAATCCAAAATGGCAGACTTTTTCAAAAATTGCCTAGTTTTGGATAGCGCTGGAACTTTTTTGGGACACCCTATATAAGTTTTTTTAATAAATTCTTAAAGTTCAAAATTTTGCGAACATTTTAATACCTCGACAGAAAAAAACGGTTGAAAACTAAGTGAAATATTGATTTTTTTGTAATATCGAATTTCAATTTTTATATTGACAGGAAAATCTGAATATGCTATTTCAGCTAGATTTTTTTCTTTCTACTCGACATATTTCTTCTATTTCGGGCTTGTTCGAAAGATAAATGGATAGGATAAGGACTCGAAATGAATATTTTGACTGTTGAGAAAAAATTAAAGATTTCCCAGTTCCTTCAACATAGTCAAAAATTTTCACCTTATCCGGAGTACAGAATTCGCTAAACAACCAACTACAAATTTTTCTCCAAGTTCGAAAAGCAGATAAAGGAAGAGAAAAATTCAGCAGTTATTTAATGGTACCTATCTGCAGCAATTTCTCGAAGCCACAAAGCACAACTAATTGTTATCGATCAAGGAGTTCGCTTGGATTCACGCAAGTATTGTCAGCTTGTGTTCGTCATATGCTATCCGAAATCAAGGTTGTTTGAGAGAGGTAGGTTGCCTGATAACTTTTATGACGTCATCTGTATGCTTGAACATAATGCAAATCTCCATAAGGCACTCTAGATGCGTCATCAAGTTACCCATTACCAGACAACCTGTTAACTTTAGGAATCTTGATCCGAAATTGAACAGCTCACACCTCAAGACTACACTTTTATGCAGGTAATTTTAAAAAAGTATCTAAGAGAGCAAGTTGCGGATTTTATACAGCTCGTTGACTGGCCGCCTAATAGCCCAGATTTGAATTCCTGCGATTACTTTGCATGGAGGGGATTTGGAAGAAAAAGGCCACGGAAATAGGGCTACGTTCAATAATTTAGGAGAGCTGCACAACCGAATCGTTGAGTTTTGGGGAGAACTGCTGGAACAACGTAACATTGCCAATTCTATCGATTCTTGGCGTAGACGTTTAGCATGGGTTGTTGAGGCCCACGGAAATAATATCGCCTCTTGCCCCTTAAATGTGTTTACTTTATTTTCTAAAATTTATAAATAAAAATATTAGTCGTATTGTTAGAAAACTTATCGTAAAATTTTTCAAGATTGGCTATGTTGAAGGAACTGGGAAATCTGTTTTTCTCAACAGTCAAAATCTTCATTTCGGATCCTTATCCTATCTATTTATCTTTCGAAGCCCGAAATAGGAGAAATATGTCGAGTAGAAAAAAAAAATTCTAGCTGAAATAGCATATTCAGATTTTGCTGTCAATATAAAAAATTGAAATTCGATATTACAAAAAAATATTATATATTTGACTTAGTTTTCAACCGATTTTTTCTGTCGAGGTCTTAAAATGTTCGCAAAATGATGAACTTCAAGAATTTATCAAAAAAACTTATACAGGGTGTCCCAAAAAAGTTCCAGCGCTATTCAAAACTAGGCAATTTTTGAAAGAGTCCGCCATTTTGGATTTTTTTCAAATGTCAAAAGTTTTACCCTGATTCGTTAGTCTGTTCATTTCTCTTTCAAACAAGCCAAAACAAAAGAAAATTGGTCAACAAATAAAAAAGTTACAGCTCAAAAACAAAATTCCGGTTTTTTTTGGACCACCCTATATTTACATTTTATTTTTCCTGGCGGCACAATAATTCCATAAGGAGTATTTTTCGTATATATATAGAAAAATACACATTAAATAATGGATTATTGCATTAATCTTATAATTATTTTGGAATGAAGTGACCAAACGTCCACCAGCAGATTTGTACACCTGAATTTTGAAAAAGACCCCACCCTTAGTACTAAAATGATGAAACTTTTTTCTATGTTGAGATTTTGCTGAAAACAAGAATGGTGTACTTACTATGAGAAAGATGCAAAATCGAAAAGAACAAGGTATTCTAGCCCTACAAGAAAAAGTGAGTGGCGGACCTCTTATTCTCTTTTCAGTTAGCACTGAGGATGGTCGGGTAGCCGAAAGCGCTCTGCTAAGATTGTCCTTGCGTTCGGTATTTTGCTCGAAGAGCAGAGCGTGCTGAGCGGAGCCGTAATCACGTGACCAGCGAGGGAACAGAGCAGTTGAACGCTAAATAAAAGTGCCAGAAATTTTAATAAACGAACGCGAATGAGGCTGCACCGAGTACACTTTTTGAATAAACGAACGGTAAAGTCATGCTCGGAGAACTCAGACCAAAATAACGAACGCACGGTATATTGAATATATTTGCTCGAAGTACTCTAGTTTGATTTCCTTGATACTACAAGAAAAAAGCACACATATGGAGCTTCTAATATTCAGTTTTTTGATTTTCATGAAAAGCAACTGGAAAAATATTTTAAATATTAATATGTGATGTTTTATGGCTTGCTCATAAAATATTATTATTTCAAGATTTCGCTGGACAGTGGAATTTTTAGTTCAGAGGCATAATTCCGCCGGAGGGAGTTTGTTTAACCAAAACAAAAACATTTTTGCAACACCAAATACTAAAGGCTGAGTTCGGCATAAACATAATCATTTATTCATCATGAAAATAGAATTGATAATGTTCAGATACATATATCCATTCATCCTGTTTTTCTGTCATATCCTTTGGTACTATACGTTAAAGGCATACAACAGGTATTTCCGGAATGTTCTTTCAGACTTTGACAGTTAGTTAGTGTGCCATGAAGTGTGGTTTTATTTCTTATAATAAATAAGAAAAGATATGAGAGATTGATTTAGTCGATACTTGATGGAAATCCATTACAAATTTTGGAAGGAAACAAAAAAAGTTTCAAGATTTCCAGAAATTTTATTTTCATGAAACTGTAACACGCACACAGTGCTTTCTTCCTATCTTCTAGATATAATAATCAATAGGGTCAGTTTTATGATAATTTTTTTCTTAAAGGGGTAGTTTCGGTTCAATTCGTTTCCGCCTTTATATTTCATGGACCCAGTAAAATTCATTTTTCTTTCCGCTATAATTGCAGAAAAACAACAAAACTTCCATTCCATTCATTCAAATTATCATAGAGAATCTGTCCGATTCATTAAGTTCAATGCCGAACTAAGCCAACAATGTCAGTTTTCTTGGTTCTTTTCTTATGAGCAACTTGTCAAAATATCAATCAATCAAAAAAAAAAATTAAAATTAAAATTAAAATAAAGTACCTACCTACTATTCAATAAGTCAACAACTAAAAAAAAAACAACAAAAGATAAAATAATATAAACCACTGTAACAAATAAAATAATTACCTAAAAATATTATTAACAACAAAATTTGAACACATAATGAGCCAGTGTAACAAATTATAATTAAAATAAATTAAAAACTAAATAATAAATAGTTAAAATCTTGTAAAAAGAACCTTGTATATTGTAAAATCAGGATACTTTTTGGACCCTGTGTCTGTCTGTATCCCAAAAGCAATAATAAATAATTAATTTTAAAAAACCGATCCACACAATGAGCTTCATTATCAACAACAATAAAAATAAATAAAAATTTAATAATACTGGCTCATAAATGAACACTAAAACTAGTATGGCCGGATATCACTACAGCCGTATATTCCTCAACAGGCTAGCTGATTTTTTGTCGTTTCGATAAATGGTCTGTAGGACTCAAACGGCCTAGTTTATCTGGGTGCAAACTGGATCCGTCAGAAAGCGGCACGTTGCTCCCATAGACGCTTAGATTATTTTGCATGACATCTTCTTTAATGCCTTCTAATATTACAGCAATAGGAACTACACCAGTAGCTTCAGCAACTTGATGCTCAATCAAGTAAAACATATACTCGTCATATAGCAAACGTATTAGATGGAAAGATCCAAAGCTTGCTGCTGAACGAAGAGTGAGATCCCTGATCACCATAGAGCTGAAAAAAATTTGCATAAAAAATTATAAATAACACTGAATAATAAATTAGCAACACGAAATTTTGGAAAATTTTGAATAAAGAAGATCCTTACACACACCCAAATTAAAGGCATCTCGAAATTATTTAGTATTACTTACCTATAAAAGCTCCATTTCAACAGAAACTGTCTGGCAGCTTTAGAAAAACTAGGCAATCCTTCGTAAGGTTTCAAAGCACTTTTCACCACATTTTTCAGCCATGATGCCCACTGCTCCAGCGAGTTTTGCTGCTGTAACGTCAACTTAAAATCATTCTCGAAACGAGAAACAATTTCATTGTCACATTGACAAACCTGAAACAAAATCATGCAAAATAGAGGCCCAGGATTTTTCAAAAACTTCCAAATTCTTACCCAAGACGCTTGTTCTCTAACACTATGAAAATCGACTCTGTTCAAATCGGCCAACATTTGTCCAATTTGGTTTCCATTGTGCAAAACGGCTCTGGCAGCTTGTGCAAGGTGATTGAGCGAAGTGTAACGACGCAAACTGGAACTAAAAGCCGATACTGCGGTCAGTTTGATTTGCAACATTGCTGGTGGGGCACCTGCCATTGCACTTGTTAGCCAATTGTCCAGATCTAAAAAATAAGTATTGGTTGAAGATTTATTAATATAATGTCTTTGTTGATCGTCTGGAAATAACTACTCCGAGGGCAAATATGAAATAGCCCTTCGAGGACTGGCTAGGTAACGGACTCCCTGCTACTTTAAGGGTTAGAATTTTTTATAAAAAAACTCTGCTTGTCTTACTAACATGTGTTGCTTATCTTCTCTGTAAAATTATTAATTTGTGCTAGTTACACCCAAGAAAAAATTGGGAAAGTTCGCAATGATAGGACTTCTTGCTCAGGAATTGCTACTTATCAAATTGGAGTAAAAAACACTGAATTTACTCGACACCCCAAAAAAAAAAACTATCTATAGGCTGTGTCACCTGCAATAACGGTCAATTTTTAGCAATCTTTACCTCGTTTCAACTATTGCTGTCAGCGTCGTCACTATAAGTGGAAAGAAAATGTTAAAAATGCAATAATTGCTGTAATTTTTAAGCAAGCCAAAAAGGCAAACAAAGTATTTGGTTACCCATGTGATAAAACAAATTATTTGTCAGAAATGCTGTGGTTTATGCCTCACTGAGGTACGCGCAGTGCAACTGCAGAAGCTTATAGTTCCTTTTTTTTGCCTGGATTGTCTCAACAGCATAAAGCAAATATTAAACCCCACTAACAGAGTTGACCAAATGGCCACGAAAGTAGAGGACCTGAAGCAGGATGTCTCCGGTTTGACAGAAGTAGTTCATGACCTTCAAAACCTCAATGATTATGGCAAATTTTTAATCCTCTGCCTGTTAACTTAAGGCAGATAGGTGGTTTTAAAAAGTTTAGACTAGAGCTCAAAACATTTTTACATGGAAAAGCCTACTATCATATTAATGAATTTTTAAATGAAAAATTTTAATTTTGTTTGTTTCATTGTTTTGTTTTGTTCTGACCGCAACCTTTATGTTTTTTCTGTATTGGCTGTACCTTCTATATGACTCTATAGTTTGATGTAGTAAAAATTGTACATGTGTTGCTTAGGATTATGCTTTGACATTTATGTTTATGTTTATTTTTTATTTTATTGATTGTACCTCTTTTTTTTTATAACCCGATAATTTTTAATTACTTGCACATTATTTAAGATCATGCTTTGTCAATGAAATTTATTTTCCGCCAATAAAGTATATTTTGATTGATTGATTGATTGAAGACCGCCAGAACAGATCCAACAATATTATGCTGTTTAACGCACCTGAAAAAAACAGTGATGAAAACGATATTGCGACTATCCTTGATACACTGAGAAGTAACCCACCAGGTGGCCGATCCTCGGGCCAGGGAGTAGAGCTCCCCGATAGAACGCATGTTTTGTCCTTGTCAACGTAATCGAAAAGTAAACAAGAATGATAAAGACGAAAATTTTGTTCTCTCGGGAAGTTCCACTCCCTGGCTCGAGGATCGGCCCTCAGGGCCCGTATTCTCGTAACCGGAGAACAGCGTTCTCTCAAGAGATTGATTGCTATGCCTTTGCCAGTATTATGGAAATAACAATATGGGTGACTAAGACAGAGCAATCGTTCTTTTGAGAGAATGCTGTTCCGCGGTAACGAGAATACGGGCCCAGCTGTTGTGCAGTTTGCCAGAGTGGGAGCAAAAATTCTAAGGGGGCGCGTGCCCTTAAAATTTCATTAAATTCTCGTCAAGATGCACTTGATTTGATGCGCTGTCGCCAAAAACTAAAAGGAAAGAATATCTACCTAAATCTCGATCTCACGCGTAAACAGCAAGAAACTGACAAACGGATCTGGAGCGAATTTAAAGACCGAACATCGAAAGGCGAGAATGGCATTCGAATAAGGTACACTGGGGGTGTTCCGCGCATTGTAGACATTCAGGGAAACTAAACACGGACGGCCAGCCGATTATCTTAACTCAACATTTATTACCAGAATGTGCGTGGTTTGCAAACAAAGCTCACTACTCTCACATGTAACACGGCTTTGCAAAACTACCAGGCTATAATGTTAACGGAAACCAACTTGTCTGATGACATCTCGGACGCGGAGCTGGGCTTGGGGAACTATTTCATCTTTAGGAAGGATTGCTCGGGTGAAACAAGCAACAAGAAGTGTTTGGGTGAAGTTTTGTTCGTTGGCCAACATAGATCAGTCCGCTGCAGTTCCCTCCCAACTAATCTACCTCTTGAGCAAGTTTATTGGCTACCCAAAAGTAAGGTGCATTCTTGGTTGTGTGTACCCACCTCCAGATTCTAAATTTGAAGACCACTCAATGGTTGGCGACACAGTTGACATGATCTCTGAGGAGTATCCAGAAGCTGAACTGTGTATGGCTGGTGACTTCAACCTGCCTAAGGCCAGATGGACTAACGAGGACATATTATGTGCAGTAGGTATTCCTTGTGATGATGATTACGTCTCACCTCAAGTAATTCAAAAAATTGCTACAATCTTTGTGCTTTTCATAACCTATTTCAGAATAATTTTATTCATAATGCAAATGGAGTTTTTCTCGATTTAGTTCTGTCCCACAAAACGCTTAGCGTTAATTATCGCGTTCCTCTGGTTCCTGTTGATAATCATCATCCACCTCTTTTGGATCATCCATGTTACACATCTGTTGGTACTAGAGCCGATTGCTATGACCATGATTTTAAATCTGCAAAATAATTACCTGGGTGCTTTCTGCTAGGATAATCTGTTATCCAATCTGTATGTAAATTCCATGTTAAACACATTTTATGATATTGCCTATAGTTGCTTTGATCTATTTGTTTCAGCCAAAAAGGTACCCAGTGGAAAGTTTCCTAGGTGGTTCAGTCGGGATCTTATAAGTCTAACAATACAAAAGAAGATTGCCCATAGAAATTACAAATACAGCAAATCCGCTCATGACTATGAAGTTTTTGCCAACCTAAGATCATAGTGTGCAGTCCTTGAGATACCTGATCTACTCACTCTTGATAATAAAAGTGCTTTCATGGGTCCTGATGCTGCCAACCTATTTGCAGGTTATTTTACTCTGCTTGTAACCCACAATGCAATCAAAAGTTGTATTAAAATGGTCACAATTACTCCATTTCCATGTGACATATACACTGAGCTTGTTAGCTTGAATCCTCACAAGGATCCGGATCCTGATAATATTCATCCTCTCTTTCTTAAAAACTGCCCCTTTATTCTCGCTAGGCCCCTACACATTATATTTAATAAATCTTTGGAAAGTGAATGTTTTCTGAAAAACAAGATTTGGCCTTGGAGAGTCGAGCGGAGGTCCATTCCGTCTACACAGACTTCTCCAAGGCTTTTGATAAGGTTCCACATAATGTACTGATAGACAAACTTAAAACGATGGGTATAAATGAACCCTTACACTGCTGGCTGAACAGCTACCTTTCGAATGATTCAAATTGTAAAAATTAACAATTTGTTCTCTAACGAAATTCCTGTGTCGTCTGGGGTCCCACAGCGGACCACTTCTTTTCAATATCTTCATCAGTGATGTTGCACCCTGCTTTCAGTCTTTGGAGTTCCTTCTGTTTGCAGACGATCTTAATTACTGCATTGCTTTGTAGGAGGATATCCACAGATTTGTGGCTTGGTTTCGTGATAATGGTATGCATGTTAATATCTTTAAGTGCAATCTCATGATATTTCCTTGTTGTACAGTTAAAACTAATTTCCATCATCTTATTAATGGAGCAACATTACCATCAGTTGTAAACATAAAGGATCTTGGAATAATTTTTGATGATAAGCTATCATTTTCCACTCACATAACATCAATCATTGGTAAATCACGGAGAATGTTGGGATTTATTAAACGTAATACTTCTGACTTTGTTACTGTACGTTCCATTTAAATGCTATATTGCAGTCTTGTTAGAAGTCTCTTAGATTATGCCACCTCTATATGCGACCCTCATTATGCTTTCCATATCCACAGAATTGAGCGAGTGCAGAAGAAATGTATGCAGAGACACTGAATATAACTACGAAGTTGTGTCAAAGGCTAAATATGTCATTACTTCAAGAAAAAAGAAGTATTCATGACCTACTTCTTCTTTTTAAAATTCTCAACTGCCTTGTTAACTTCCAAGCATTGGTTTATATGTACCACCTTTTAATACGAGAAACATCCCACTTCAACCCTTCAAACCTTTAGAGAGCCCCTGTCACAGTTGAACCTTGCTAGATTGTAACTTATCTGTTAACAGAGTAGCCTAGCTTAATTCTTAATTTACAAAACTTTTTACAAGAATAGTTTACTTACATATAATCATGTACTTTGGAATATTATTGTTATCTTGTCTTTTTATTTCTTGCATGCACATGTTATATTAAGCTCATTGTTAAAAAATGGCACTGCTGTCAATAAATTAATAAATAAATTAAGAAAAATAAGACTTTCACGTCAACTCCTTTCATTCAGAAATTGGAAACTTTGAGGGCTGGAGACTATTGTTAGGGTAACGTCAAACAAGCCAATAAAGTTATTTTTTGATTTATTGAGGCATGATTAGAGCCTTGTAAAGATATAAACATAGTTGAGTTTAGTTGTTTTACTTACTTTTAGCGAAGTTCCGTATAGATTGAGTAAGAGTGGCTGGAATTGGCTTCAAAACATCAGGCACTAATACCTGGATGAGACTTTGGTAAAACACCAAATCTACTTGTTTCATAAATATCTGAACTGGCTCCATTGAGCAAAGGGAAAACAGCTTGGACCTGGTGTGATAAGACATTTTTAATAAAAAATCCAAATACTATTAATTACAAAATTCCTACTTTGATAAATATTTTTCTTCTTCGCATTCATCTCCATTATTATTGTATTGAGATCGCCAAAATTCTCTCCATAAGGACTCAACAGTGTTGAATTCCAAGCTTAGTATAGCATCTAAAAATGCTTCCAGATGTTCCCTGTATATTGATCTAAAAAATATTGAATACAATTTGAATACTCGCTAATAAAGATTTTTTTACGTACTTCAGTGTATCCACATCCTCATAACCGCAATCCTCAGGAAGTGCTTCTTGAAAATGTATTTCGGGAAACGCAGGGATTGCACTGCTGCCATCTCCTAAATATGCTGCGTGTTGCAATAATGTCCCATTGGAACTCTGACTGTCAGAATCAGAATTACGTTTGAACGGACGGACAGTGCCTTGAGCTTTCCCTGAAGAACTTGAGTTTAGAGTAACTTTGCTCGAAGGATCCTCGATGTTCATTAAAGGCGACCCTGGTTTAACTCGGATGCCATAGTAGTGATATTTGGAGTTACCCCTGAATAATTGATTTCATAACTTACTATTGTCCTAGATTTGTCAGTAGATTTGATTTACGTGGGAATGAGGAGAGTAGGAAATTCTTAATGTTAATTTTATCTTGTAACAAGTCACTTTTAACATATAGATTTCTTCATTTTAGCTTGGAAGAGCCGAACAAATTCCAATTTTGTTGTCCTTATTCCCACGAAAATCAAATCTAGTCATACGTCTGTATGAGGTTATTGGTTATACTAATTATTGTGACATTTGAATAGACTTTACCTTGTTCCAAGCCGTCTGGTTCTCAGTCCTATAAACACAGAACGTATCAGTTTTCCAAATGACGCAGCATTAACGGGCTCTAACTTATTATCGACACAATGTTTCAAATAATGAGCATAAAGCGTCGATCTGGGCAGGGAAACACCATCGGCCGTTTCGTAATGTTCCATTAACCATTGGACCTGAGAAATTATGAAATAATAAGTTTGGATTTGAATATTTCCGTGCAAAATACTAGATCAAAACTGCTAAAGAAAAAATAGAATACAAAAAAAAAACAACAAAAGCAAAATGAGTGATAAGTGGATGTGTTGTGGAATGTGGACCTACCTAAAGTGAGCAAACGAAAGAGTATAATAAAATAATAAATCAACCATAAAAATAGGGAAGAGTGAGGAATAAGTGACCCAAATAATTAAAGTTTCTTAGACAATTGGGCAAAATTTGTCATAAGAATTTCCATGCTATGGAATCGTCATTTCACGTGATATCACAACTGCTATCAGTAAAAGTTAAAAGGCCGGGTTAATTTTGGTTTAGTTTAGGAGAGCGGTTATAATGTATGCTGTATTGTTCATACTGTTATTTGTTTTAGAAGTGCAGTTTGCATTAAAAGCTTTGTGACTTTTTTCTCCTGTATAACAGGGTAATAATAATCAGCAAAAGTCATGATTTCACAACTGTTGAATAGCAAATATAGTGAATTCAAATTACAATTTGAGACTGTTCCAGTTATTTACGGTAAACATGGAACGCGAAAGCAATTGTGCTGTTTACGGATGGTCTAGGAACTATTCTAGTCTTACACTTGGACACTTGGAATAAATACCCGAATATAAACCTAGTGCCTTGGAATAAAATTTCGAGGTATAGATTTGTTAAAATTTCATGAATTAGCATTCAAAGAACACAAGTGAAAATAATTCCCATTTTAGCAATTTATAATCCTACATCAAAAAAAATATCATGAATATCAGGTTGTGGTCCATAACTCCAAATAATGTATTCTATTATTATAAGCTGAAGAAATAAAATCCAAAAAAACAAACTTGTCGCTTCTTTCTCTATAACTAAACCCAATTTTGCAGCTCTTTAAAAATAGGTAGCAGGTGTGGTAGCACATGGAATGAACAATCCGTATCGAGGTGTAGAAGGTTCAGGGTGCAGATGAGGACTTACAGTAGCAGGGGATACTCTAGTAGCATGGCCTAACGAAGATCCGACTTCTTCACCATTGCTGCTCACTGTAACCACTTGACCAGTAGCTTGTGCAGTGTTAGCAGCATAATCCTGCGCACGCAAGTAAGTAATTAAGACTCGCAGATATAGGTACCGATTGAAAATTAGACACATAGACGGAAAATTAGTAAAAATATGACATTAGTGTAAAAATGATCTGTTTCAGAAATGTTCAAGCCATTGTTCCAAAAAAATGTTATACTTACAGCAGAACTTTGTTGAGGTGTCATCCTGTTGAGCAACGAATCAGCATCTACTGTCTGCTGAAGGACATACTGTCCTGTAGATGCGGAATACCCTACCGTACCAGTTGTGGTGTTTCCTGCGTTGGTTGAAGCTCCGTAATACTGGCTTGGCCCTTGACCATTGGCTATGGGATAGAGCGCGGTCGATTCGCCAACTGTGTATACAGGATATGCCCTGGATTGATAGAATTTTAGAAATTATGCATCATTCATTTCATATTTATATTATTGAAATATTTGTAAGTAAAAATTAAAACTTTTCTCCAAACATGACACCATGCACTCTTATTTGGAATACACACCATCGTTTTTCGTTAGTTCACTAAGCCAGAGGATATGTATTTTGAAAATATTTTGATGTTTAAGTACTTACATTTGAGGCTGTCCGCCATTGGCCTGCGAAGCGTAGATCTCCTGTTCAACATATTGAATGTGATAGCTTTGGTGTGAAGCCACTGCGTCTCCCTCAGCAACTGAAATATATTGAATTTACAATTATATTTGCATCTCTTAGATTTGATATTATTAGTGTAAAAAATTAGAATTATTCTTGCCTTTTCAAGCAAATCAAACGAATATATTACCACAGGCAAAAACTAAACTTGATATTCTAAACCTGGCCTCCCGTTAAAATTAGTTTACAAGGAAAGGCTGTCGCAGGCTATTCTTGCTATTTAAGAAGCCAAAAAGTAGGTATCTCATAGCAATTTCTAGCACTGCAGCAACTTTTTCTTTTTAATTTCCTTGTCCTTTCACTTTTAGGGTCAGGCGTCTCCCTGAGCAATCGTTATAATAAAGTAGCCAAAAATAATTTTGAACGATTTCAAGAAACCTTTCAAGTCTAACATCCAATTTAAACCATTCCAAGCATCTAATAAACATAATCCTCTAGCGATTCCTACCCGTCCGCCCTTTGAAATCGACCCTCTCAATTATCAAGAATTAACCAGCTACCTGCTCATAATAAAGCTAGAGCCGCGTTTCGTAATTATGACAAAACTCATGTTGCGAAAAGAACCCTTAATTTGACTTGATTGCAACTCAGACATCACCCCTGCTCTTCCTTTCCCTTTCTGCAAGCGCAATTTCTAGACCCTAAGTTCGGCGTTTGGCCGACAATGGCTGAGCTTATGTTCGGTTGATTTGGCACGTGTTTGACGCATGTTCTTTCACCTGAGAGTATCAGATTATCTGTGTATCATACATACTTGTCTTGTTTGATCATGGGCTTGTGTGCATTGCAGTGAAAATGGAAGTCTGGATGTGATTGAATTTGATAAATACGCATGAATTCGATCTTATTTACAAATATAAAAACAGGCACAAAAATGTATTTTTATTTTTCTATTTTATGGTATTTGCCAGGCTATCAAATGTTGCAAACGAGAGATTTTGAAGCGCAATGTTAAAGTAAACAAGTAAATGCAACTTTTTAGAAAAAAAACTCCGTTGCTATTTTTTAATTTTTAAAACATCTATCCTGAGGCCCTCGACAATCGACAAAAAGGTTCGAAATCTATATTTTAACGTTTCATGTCGTTTTACATCGAGTTTCACATCAAAGCGGAACTAATTCCCAATTGGTGGAAATACGAAATCGAGTATAGAATTTTTCACAAAATATATCTGATATTATATCAGTGAAAATATGATCAGACGAAAACCAGTTTAAACAAATTATGGTTCAGGTGCACAATTCTGCTCACAGAACATGTTCAGAAAGTGTAAAGAATGGAAACTTTCCATAGGAAATACCTTTTTCCAGAAAAATAGGTAATAAAAATGAAGACTGCTCTTGAAAACCTCCACCTCACAAATTTAGCTTCTCGGATTTCCTTCATGATTCCCTATACTTTCTCGAATTTCTCCAAACTTTCGAGGATATCACGAACGGAAAATCTGATTCATGAACTAGAAAATTTGTTCAATTCAATATTGCCTGTTTTTACGGCCCAATTGACTCCAATTGATTGAAAAGTTGTGTTGTATCCTATATGTGGTACTTAACTAATTCTCGAGCGTTACTTACCAGTTACCGTTATAAAATGTGGTGATGCGGTAGCGATAGGATCTTCTTGAGGTTCGTTTTCCTGGTCTCCGCCCCCAGTGCTCTCGTTGCTAGAATCCCCAGCCTGTTCCAAAGCAATTACTGGTACCCCGTTCACAATTGTACCGCTCGCTGTGCCCTGGAGAAAAGAAAACTTTATTTTATTTTGAACAAGTTAACTAAAAACCCATTCAAAACTATTGAAAATAAACTCAATATAAATATAATAGATTTAGGAATAATAGAAAACACATTGTGGTTTGAACACGGTATAGAAAAATATAGATGATTGTAGCATTGTGCCTGTTCAATTATGTGTGTGGGCCTTATTACACTGTTCTCCAATCAAGTAGAAAACTCATTGTTGGTGAACATTGTTCAGACCGAAGTTATAATTTGATGCAAAATAGTATTGATTGTTCGATAAATTATTGAACGGTTTTAATACACATTAGAGCACCCTTTGCCAACTGAAAAAATAGGTAAGGAAAATACCATTAGATAATTAACGGGTTTAGAAACATTTTCCGAAATAGGTAGGTAGGTGCGTAATTTATTAGCCTTAAGCTGGATTCAGAGCTTCCGTAACGTAAGACTTAAAACTTAAGCGTAAGACTTAAGAAAAATAAACACCATGTAAATCAATGGGACAATTCATAGTGCCACCGTAAGACTTAAGCCGTAAGCCGTAAGAATTAAGAAATGGTTGAATTCCATTTCTTACGTTACGGCTTAAGTTTTCGTTAAGGATCGCGAGGTTTCGTAAAGCGGCCGATCATGAAACTGACATTTGGCCACAGTTTTTGATTGTTTTTGTTTTGGTTTTTGTTTGTTTTGGTTTTTGTTTTGTTTCTGGTGGTTAATTTCTTTATAATTAAATGAAAATATAATTTTATAATACATGCATACTAGAAAAAAACTGGTTCAATTTGGTAGATAGACCACAAAATCGGCGGATGCGGCAGCACAGAATTACTAGATAAATATGGAGACCGAACCCTAGAATATAATATATAAAAATAATTTCTAACTTCTTAAGTTTTAAGTTAGCTCTGAATTGGTTGCTTTTTTTTTCTTAAGTTTTACAGCTTAAGTCTTACGGCTTAAGTCTTACGTTACGGAAGCTCTGAGCGGACCTTTAGCCTTCGACCTGCAAATAAATCTCAAATCCAAACAAGATCTTTTTCCAGTTTATATTATTAAAAGATTTTTCTTAATATAAAAAATTTCCAACCAATAATTGCTTGAGAAAAAGCGTGAACCTGACTACCTGATCTGATAGTTATACCAACACCTACAATAAAACTGATGCGAACTTGGCAGCTAAAAGTCAGCAGCAAAACTGCCGAACGTTGCTGATTGATCAGTGGCGTCAGTTTTTTTTTAAATTTATTTTATTTTTGAACTTTCCATAAAGTTTTTAATACCTATGATGGTCCTTTTTCTCACAAGACAATTATAATAATGATAATAAATTGGGGGGCAAAACTAATAAATTATCGCGAATAATAAACATGTTTTGGCAAAATTCGGGCCACCATTGTTCTGCTATAAATGGTAGTTAAAGCTATGATAAGTAAACATATAGTTACACCGTTATGCGTAGTATACCTGTCTTGCAAATTGCTCCCAGGGTACTTAAAGGGAGTAAAACTAATAATCGCAATTAATTAAAAATAAATTATTGTGAAAATATTGGCATTTCCACCCTAGTCTCGGGTACAAATGGTACTGGAAGTTATAGGCAGTACCAATATACACTGTTCAGGGAACCTCATTTGACTTGCAAATTACTTTAAGGTTGATTTAAGGGGTTAAAACTAATATGTAATTGCGATTCATCAAAAAAGGGTTATTGTGAAAATATGGACATTTCCACCCTAGTCTCGGATACGAATGGTACTGGAAGTTATAGGCAGTACCAATATAAACCGTTCAGGGTACCTGAAAAGACTTGCAAATAACTTTGAGGGTGGTTTAAGGGGGTAAAACTAAAAAATGCGATTCCTCAAAAAAAGGGGTTTTGTGAAAATATGGATATTTCCACCCTAGTCTCGGGCACAACTGGTACTAGAAGTTATAGGCAGTACCAATATAAACCGTTTAGGGTACCTAAGAAGACTTGCAAATAACTTTGAGGGTGGTTTGAGTACTCCTCGCCGCGTTGCCATGCGCTCTGTCGCGCTGCGCTCCAGTGAGCGACGCCCTTCCTTTATGATCCCAATATTGAGTTGAGGGAATTTTAGAAGATAGCAAACACACAAGCATACCACGAAAGGGTTTAATGGGGGTGTGACCCAAAAATGAAAGTTTTATGGCCGCTTGCACCGACCATTTTAAGGGAGGTTTAACGATAATGAACGCTTAAAGTGACATTTCTACATGTAAAAATTTCACTTTAAGCGTTGATTTTCGTTAAAACTCCCTTAAAATGGTCGGTGCAAACGGCCATTAGTGCAAAAAAATCTAAAAACAAATATTCAAACCGCATCTTGCTAAGATGAACCGTTTTCGCGTTAGGGCGGCTTAAAGTGACGTACGCCAAGAGTGTGACGTCACACCGGCTTCGGAGGCACAGTATTACAACGTGTTCGAATTTTCCAAAACAAAAGTCAACGATCTCACTAGAGCGAATTGTAACCACTGAAACGATTCACTAACGACTGAACGAACAGAGAGCTGTGATTTCGGCGGTTAGATAGTGTGACGTCACAACTTTCCGCATAAATTATCTTCATAAGGGATTTTGCCGGATACTGTTTTGAATATAGGACTGCGGCTTTCACGAGAGATCTTAGGATTTTTTTCTTGATTCAAGTACACTATCAATTGTAATTTTTTCGAATTTATTATTTTACATTATCGTTATCGATAGTCCAAGCATGAAATAATAGGCTTATGATAACTAAAATAAATAAAATTGATGAATCGCAATAATTAGTTTCACCCCGTCAACCACCCTCGAAGTTATTAACAAGTCTTTTTAGGTACCCTTAACGGTTTATATTGGTACTGCCTATAACTTCCAGTATCATTTGTATCCGGGACTAGGGTGGAAATGTCCATATTTTCATAAGAACCCTTTTTTCGACGAATCGCAATTATTGGTTTTACCCTCTAATCCACCTTCAGAGTCAAAGTAAAGTCTTTTTAGGTACTGTAAATGGTTTATATTGGTACTGCCAGTATCATTTGTGCTCGAGACAAAATCAATCGAAAAAGCCCTGGTTAAACAATTATCTATTCAATGAAATTGACAAAAAAACGAGACTACATTTACAAAAATTCTCCAAGTGAACAGAACTACTCCGTGTATATATAGAACTCAAAACAACCAATTCAAAGCAAAATCCGGGCATCACGGAGAGACTTTGAAAAAAGGATTGCATCATCAAGAGACAACAAACAATTTTTCAAATACGTAAAACGCACTCTTAATACAACAGTCTCTAAAATTACTTTGAAAGATCCGGACACAGGAACTCCATTCAACTCCAATTAAGGATGATTACGCGACAGCAGAAGAATTTGCACAACAATTCACCAAAGTTTTCTCAAGAGACGACAATCCAGAGCTCCCAGAACTTCCTGAATCCAACAACAGATTAACTTACGATCGTTTTCACCAATGACAAGGTTTCTGAGGCCATTAATTGCCGGCCCCGGTGTATTTCTCTTAAATTGCAACGAAGCAATAACCAAACCTCTAGCGGACGCCATGAATGAGATAATGGAGAGTAAAAGACTACCAGACATATGGTCCATTTATTTGGACACATGCTATTGTAACCCCACTTTACAAAAAGGGCGATAAACAATTACCTTCTAACTATAGAGCAATGAATTTAACAAAATTAGCAAATGTTTCGAGAAGGTAATTACAAAAGGATTACCACCATTCCTCCTTGAAAATGGGGCCATAACAGATCATCGACATGGATTACTTGCAAAAAAATCGACCATTGCCAACCTTACAACTTGTTTGAACACCTGGACACAAAGGTTTGATAGGAACAAACCGACATCGTCTATTTAGATTTTGAGAAAGCATTCGACAAAGTTTCATTCAATAGAATGTTGTGAAAATTATTCAGACTCAGACTCTTGAATTTTCTTTATTTCGACAATTTCAAGAGCCAGAAATAGACGATAATTGAGAAATAGAGAGAAGAAATTCGAGAGGCAAGTATAGACGCAAAGTATTTTGTTTCTATTCCAAGCTATTGAATTTTCTCTATTTGGAGAAAGTTACAAGAAAACGAAACTCAAGAGCCAGGAATAGACAAAAAATGAGACGGAAAATTTGAGGAATAATCCAATAAATTCCAATTCAAATTCAATTACAAATGCATTTATTTGGAAAAAAAGGCATATTTTGTGTGACTGACCCAGCATTTGAAATAAATAAGGAAATTAGCATTTATTATATTGAATATGATGAAGAATAAATAAATAATAAAAATGATAAATGAACACTTTCAAATAAAAATTACAAATATATTGATTTTTGTACAATTGACGTGACTGCGTAAAATTGTACCATACGAACATTTGACAACACCGCCATTACGTATGTAATGACGTCATAACGTGATAGCCGTTTACGCGCGTGTTTGCATTTTTCAGATTTAATTTGTGAATGTATCAAAAACTAAATCGTTTCGGAAAAAAATTGGAAAGCTGCTATAATTTATTTACCCACAGGATTCGGAAAAAAATATAATTCAAAAATGTACAATTACCCTATTGTATCGTTGAGCTCGGCACAAAAAGACCCACTTCTTGGTCTAATGACATAAACAACTATTTGTCTCTCGTTTAGAAATTTATTTATTTATTACGGGCAAGACCCATCAAAAGTACCTTACAACTAAGTAAACATAGGCCAGTAATATTTGACTTAGTGACAGGAAAACAGTACATATACATTTATTATTTTATAACATTAATTTAAAAGTTATAGGTATAGAAAAAAAAATGAGGACAGACATAAATAAAGACTGATCAGATCAAGATGACTTGACATTCTTAGCTATTTAACTTAGTATCACAAACAAATGAGGAGAATTACTATCACATTAGAGAGTTACGCTCTCTTTTAAAGCTATTTATGGGTCCAAAAAAATCCAGGCTACCATG